TAGAAGGAAGCAGATAACAGAATACTAAAGCTGAGTCAGAGGGCATCTGGATTTGAAACAGAGCCCTCTTGATCTGCAGTCAAATGCTCTACTACTGAGCTATACCCCCACTGTCCTTGCAATAACAGTGTGATTCTGTGTCTCGTGTTTTCAGATGGAGCCTGGCCTCAGTGACCAAGCAGAGCTCTCAAAAAACAGCTGAGGCAGGTCAGCTGACGGCTGAGCTCCAGAGGGAGAGCAGCAGGATTAGGCGGCTGGAAGGTGTCATGCAGGAAGCAGACATCATTCTCAGACACATCCTGATGGTAAAAGCACACAGTCCTACTACTACACCAAAGAAAATATACCTATTGTATTTAATTTCTGCCACTATATCCCCTTAAAGTCTAGACTCTGGACCTTTAAGTGCAATACTTGAGTTAATGTGCTCAGTTCCTCTCCACCAAAGGATACATCTGTGCTATAGCAATAACTGAACAGCCGCCTCATTTTTCAGCATATATCCTAACTAGCACGGTAGGTCAGCATACTCTTAATATGCAAAAATATGCATCCATAGTTACTTACCTACAACATATTCTGACACAAAGCTTAAGTCAGAAGGATGTAAAGTATCATGTTTTTGTTTTTTAAAAAAAGATATTTTTGGGGGGCATTTTGCCTTTAATCAATAGGACAGTTAAGTGTGAAAGGGGGAGAGAGGGAGTGACATGCAGCAAAGGGCCACAGGCTGGAGTCGAACACAGAACAGACAGACAGATTTTTCTGCCTATAAGCCAGAGACATCTGCAGTCATGGATGACTGAAAAGAACAGCTTCACTGCTGAGATGTCACAGTTACATACAGTATTTATTCTAACTGAGAAATCTGTTCAAAAGGTTGTCACGTGACTTTATTGTTTATTGACTTTATTATTTTTATGACTTTATTGTCCTTCATAATGAAAAACATCAAACATAAAAGCAGCACAACAATCTGTAACATAAAAAAAAACACAGATGATAACAGGTCAAAAATATAAAACACTGTATTGTAACTATATTTTTGTGGGGAGGCCTCCATCTGTGCCATTTATTGTTTTATTAAATTGTTTGTGAGTTGATGTATATGTAAATTGACTGACCTTCCATCATTTGTAATCTTACTAAACACAGAAACCGTAAGATTTAAACCCTTAAATGTGCAAGCAAATAATGCATTGAAATAAACATTATTCACTTTTAGCCCTATTTGTGCTTCTAGGTTTAGACAATCCCTAATAATCAAAGCTCTGATGTCATCTGTCCTCTGCAGGACTCAGAGAAGTCGTCTGAGACTGAGCAGAAGTTAATGAGGCTGCTGGAGATCCTGGAGAGCACCGTCATTCAGGGAACATGATCCAATGTCAAAGACTTTCCTGAGAAGAGCAGTGAAGGATGGAAATCGTTGACCACTAACTTCATGGTATCACGGTATTACAGAGTGATAACCAGAGGGGTTATTTTTGGATGAATAAATATTTTATTACTATAATTAAACTTGAAATTACTTTTTTAATGAACGTTTGTGTAAAAAATAAATTTGAGATTGACTGCCGCAACCCTTTTTGAAACCATTTTTTAAAATGGAAGTTTGTGAAAAAAGTCTCCCTTTTGAAAATAGCTAAAAAACAGTTCAGATCCTCCATCTAGTCACATTTTTTTTTCAATATCATAGATTAGCAAATGTACACAGTATGGTAACCGTCAATTTTTATAGCACAGTATACCTTAAAATGAGCATACCGCTGCAACCCTAGTGTGAACACTCCTGGAAGCTGATATCCTGTCAAGACACACCCAGAACAAACTGCATCAGTTTCCTGACAGCAGCACATTGAGCTGGATCAGAGTCCTGCTGAGGCTCGAGTGCCACCATCACCAGATTAGCTGTGAACTGGTCTTGTCAAAATATTCAAACAGCAAAATGTAATGTCTGGCTGCAGCAGGCAGCTGTTTTCAGCCAAAAAGCTTTTAAAAACCCAACTATACACAACCAGCCCTGCAGCAAATGGCAGACAAAGTGACTAACTGGTAAAGAAAGTGGAGCATTTAACATCTTAAGAGCCATAAAAAGGAGCAAAATTAAGGGTAAATATTGAAATTCTATCAGTCAGGTGGCCAAAAACAGGACTCCAAATAAATGTTAAATAAATGCTCTGTACTACTGGATGTGTAGACAGACAACTGTTCACTGAAACAGTTTGTCTTGGTGTTTCTGTGCAAAAAGATTCGTGTAGGAAGACAAAATAAAAAAAAGCAAGTACTGCAACAGTCAAGAAACACAGATGTGTAATATAAACATTTAAGATAAAAAATATGAAAAAATATACTATTTAAAATATGCACAATCTGTATTAAAATGAAAGGGCTGTGCAGGAATGTGCAAAAGATCACAATATAGTAATATATATTGTATATTGTATATATATAAGTATAGCTGATAAAGCACACCTGTACTTATATAGTAATATAAGTATAGGTGTGCTTTATCAGCTTACTGTGACAATACAGCATCTTTCTGCTGCTGCCAGGTGGACAAGAACACAATTAACCAATTAATCATGAATAAATAAAAATATGCCATAATTGTTTTCCCTGTTTTACAAAAGTAGTTGTTTTTATGCATAATCTGTTCTTTTTATGAATGCTGTTGCTGTCTGTCCCTCTGGAAACTCTGCTGCCAGAGGACACCCAGCTCTATAGATCCGTTTGCTCCAGCTCCTCAGCAGGCTGATTCAGAGGCCTCCACCTCTGCAGAATGCTGAACCAAATCCAGTCAGCAGTAAGAAAGATGGATGTTTTTCATCCCAGCACCCCATTTTAAAATAAAGTTTTAAGTGACTTTAAACCTGCTAATGTTCTGACTATTGATCTGTTTATGTAAATTTGTAGTTAATTACTGTTCTGAACATTTACAGATTGCAAAGTAACTTTCATAATTATGATGATTATTCCATTGACTGTTTTCAATGATCTGATTAAAATTACAATGACAGAAACCATCAAAAGTCATCACAAGAACCCAAACTGACATCTTCAAATGTCTTGTTGATTCTGTCCAGCAGTCCAACATATTTAATTCACAGTGATTCAAACAAATATAAATAATTCAGAAAAAGAATATGGACCTCACCTCACGTGTCCCAAGCGTGAACTCCCGTTTAGGATTCCTTCAGTGATTATTCATGAGATTTTTACAAGGAGCTGAATTATCTACAGATGACAAGGTGATTAAAAGCCGTGAAAACACTTAATAGTGAAGTTTTACTTTTAAAATCAGTGTTTCTCTACCGCTGTTCAGCTTGTTGCTGATGGGCCGTTAGTCCAGCACCTGCTAATGTGTGCTCACCTTTTTCTGTAATACTGTAAAACTTCAGATAAAAGCTTAGTCCCTTTTACTGGCCTGGTGTGGCTACATTTGACAAATAAAGGTCTGTCTCAGTAAGACCCCTGGTCTGATTGTCAAGCAGTTCATCTGTTTTATAGGAGTTCTGCTGATGTATAAAACCAGGTTGATGGCTACCTCAAATTATGTGTCCATTCCTCAATTACCCTGTTAGTTCTTCATATTCCTTTAGTCCGTAAGGGTCCTCAGATCAGAAAGAATCAAAAGAGTTTTTTGAAAAATTAATCCAAGTTAATCCAAATTAAAGGCCTGTCCCATATAGACACCTGTCCTCAATACAGGTCTGTTGATTTAAGTGATTAAAGCAAATAATAGCCTGGGATATTAGTTGAGGTTTTATGGTAACTTAAAATTCAGACGTTCAGGAGGTTTTACCGTGAGTTGAATTATTCACCGAGGTCTCCTCTGCTCCAAATCAAATGAACCTGCTGATTTAAACCAGTTCAATCAGGAGAGACTTGTTTTTTTTAGTAGGAAAAAGGATATTTGTCAACATGTGCACTTAAGAACGAAAAATGTGGTTAGACCCCCATAGAGATGGTATGATGAATAAGGAGGGTGATGAATCCATAGTTGAATAGGGTCTAGATGCTGGTGATGGTGGAGGTGGTGAAGATGAGAAGATGGAGAAGTGCCGATTATCTGGATGAGTAGAGGCAATCAGTAGTCAGGCAATGATTTCCAATGGGAAAATGCAGCCGTTCTCTCTCACTCTTGAAAACCAGACTCCATTGAGAAAAACAGTAACATTGCTGAACACAAGAGCTGCTGGTCTACCACTGCCTCAAATAGATATTTTGTTAGTTTTAAGTTTAAGCATATGCTATATTGAGAAAATTTTCACCACTTAACCTTTCAGTCAGACAAACAGCTCCGACCGGGAAGCCGTGAATGGCTTCAGTTACCCATCTATGATCTCCTAAAAGCCACATCACTCCATTGACTAAACAGTAATTTTAGCTGTCTGAACACAGGAGCTGCTTTTGTACTGCTGCCTCCAACACTTACCTTATTTGTGTTAATGTTTGACTTTGACATCTAAAAGGGTTAGTTTGGATTCACACAAGAACACAAACTAACCAGTAGACCAGTGAGCTAAAATTACTGTTTTTCCTCAATGGAGTCTGGTGGTTTTGAGGAGAGTATAAATGAGGAACTGAAGCTGTTCACCGCTCAGAACGGGCTGTCTGACAGAAAGGTAGAGCAGTGGAAGTCCTCCCAATGTAGCACACACTTAAAGTGGTATTGTTTTTTTAGGTGGGACTTATTTTAGGTGGCTAAAAAACATTTTGTTGCTGACCCTTCCACAGCACTACCTTGCTTAGCTTCCATGTTGGACTCCAGCTTGCCTCTCCAAACTTAGAGCATGCACACTGACATTTACTGTATTTAACATACTGTCTATGGATAACTAACCGTACCACCGCAATTCAAAAAACTAAACTATCCCTTTAAATACACACACATGCCGAAGTCCTGGACAGGTTTGTGCTCCTATAGACTTCTGTCATCACATGCACACTGTAACACTGCCCCACTGCTGTATAACTGAAAGAAAAGAAGCATGCAGCAGTCATGGGCCCATTAGGATGATTTTATTTTTCATCAGCTGTACAATGTCTCATTTCCAAAAATGACGTCAAAGTTTTCTTCTGTTTTCTCGGTCTTAAAACGGATATGTTTAAAACCATCTTAAAACCGTTCTCTCAATTCTTCTGCCAAAACAAACAAGCAATGTGCAAACAAACAAAAACAATGCTGTTGCTATGAGAACAGTCAAACATCTGTCTTCCATCCGTCCGCCTGCAGAACACCATGATAGGTTGACAACAGAATATTTTGTCCTTTTTTGTTTTACAGAATGAGATCTCAGACAAAAGCAGTACAATAAATGTTTCTGAAAGATTCTTATAAAAGTGTCAATTTGATATCCAAACACTGATTTCCTCAGAAACCTTCCATCAGTATCTTGGCACTGCTATTTTTTCTGTGACCATTTCTGTGTTCATGGTTCTTTACAGCCTTGTTTTACAATGTTGGGCATCTAACCAATGTTTTTACAGAGGAAATGGTTCAACCTGACAATAACAGGTATTGTCATAAAAGGAAGGCCACATAACAACCATCACAACCTGTGGTCAAGCCCACTAGGAAATCAGATCACTTCAGAGCTTTAAGCCCTATCACATCTTCAAAAGAATCAAATCATATGATTTGTTGAAATTTGGACCATGAAGATTACTTTTGGTTTTCACCTTGATTCACAAAGCGATCTTAACCCTGTTTTTTAAATACAAATGAGGGCTAACTCTTATCTGGAGTGACTGAGCTGGAGAGGACAAACCTCAGTGTCAGCTGCAAGGTGTAGCCCAGGGTTAATGCAACTGCAGGATTTGAGTGAATAGCTTTAATCCAGGGCTGAGGACAGTGTGGAAGAGCCCTCTTCATTACCTAATTAAGTCACATAGTACAGCAAATAAAACACACGGCTTCCAAAAACAGTATATTATCTGTCAAAAAAAGAACAAGGCTGTTTTACTAGCTAAACTTCATTCAGTATGTTTTTAGATGAGTGCCCAACAGTTTTGTCTTTCAGCAGATACTTAAAAACCTCTTGTTCCTTTACAGGTGATGCTAAACTCACCTGCGGGCCAAACGTTAAAGGAGAACAGAATGAGACAAGGCTTCCGTCATACGACTGAACCAGCTGCAGAGAAATGCAGTGGCAACTACAAATTGGCCAGAAAAGAAAACTGTCAAACAGTTATCTGTAAAACTGAAAACACTTTTGTATCGCTATGAGCAACAAATTATACACAGAAAACTGATAGTGGTTCAGATTAGTTGTGTTTGGTTGGTTAAGAGGGGCTCATCTATGGAACGAAAGCATGATGAAGAGGTCATTTTGCAAACCACCTTTACAGGCTGGGGACATGGAGTACCAGCTATGGCACCAACATGTTTACCATGTCAATGAAAACCTCAATATCCCTTTTAACCAACACATCTTTAAATCTTCTATTTAAAAACATTATAAAGGTTCACAAGAAATCGAAAAGCAAAGGTTTTAATATGTGTATTTACATGCAAACCACCTGCCACAGTTGGCTGATTATTGTGGGGGGAGAGGGCTGTTTGAGTTACACACTGATTCACAATCTGGTCTTAGATAACTGTTCCAAGCAATACATTAGCTGGGATGTGAATCCATTTCAAGGAAAAATAAGAGTGTCTGATATTAGCTTGCAAAACAATGTTTGAGTTTGTTACTGCCTTTTACTTCAAGTGAGATGATTCAAATGCATAGACATAATTCCATGTTAATTGAAGGATTTGGAATGTTCAAAATCACAACTTTAGTACAATGTTTTACCAACTTTTCCAGGATTTTCTCCAACTGACAGGGATCATTCAGTTCATGTGGTGGCAAACGATCTCCTTCAAAATGTAGAACAGGAGAAGGAGGAACGTTGACTATGAATGACAAATATCTTCCATCAGTGAGAGGTAGAAGAAAATAGAAAACAGTTGAAAAATAACTATGTTGGTGACTGGAAACTAAATTAGCAGCTATCTCAAGTATCTCATTAGCATGAGCTGAGGGCAAGATTCCATTAGGACAAGGTTGACTGCAGGCAGCATGGATGTCAAACAGATGAACTAGAAAGCTAAATTTCTGACTTCAGTTCCTCTGAATGTGATCTACCTGTGCCCATTTGCTCATGAATAAAGAAGAATCCCTCTGACAACTTTCTTCTGTAAAAGCCTCAATGTACAAACACCACAACATGGGCCATGTGTTTACACAGGCCGAGGAGGAAAATCATAGTTTGGGGGGAAATAAAATACAGATCGTATGACTGAAAGCAAGTGGTATCTCAGTGACAAACTCAAGTACCATATACTATGTTTCATTAGGAAAAACTACATTTATATCTATATATACACATATAAAGGCTTGGAATTTGCAAAATCAGCATAGTTGCAAGAACAGCAAGCGGGACAGCAGAAAATCAGAGTGAAAGTAGATCAAATGATGTCTCCTTTGGGCAGAGCAACACAGAGAGGAGCTGAACAATAACTGCAGAGTGTGTGGGTAGAGACTGCCACAGGATGTGGCTTTGGGTAGAAACAAGTAGCAAAATACACAATGATTCATTCAGAAGACATTCAAACTGAAAAAAGCATTTAAGAGCAGAGAGCAGTCTGTCGTTAGCTTGGACGATATCTGTATATGATGTGGGAGATGACACAGGTATGTGTAGTGGGGTATGGTATGTTGTGTGTGTGTGTGTGACCCACAAACTTCAGTATGCAGTTGATGTACATGGATGTGGAGTTACTGTGTGTATGTATTTACATGCAACTTCCCTTCTTTGTGCATGGTTGTTTTGCAGCCACTTGAATGGAGGCAAAATGGCCGCCATGACAAGCTCACACTGATGGAACATGAGGGTGAAGGCCGTGGATGTGGAAATGTTAATGTGTATTTGCCAATCTGACTCATAGTCCAGCTGCATGTGTGCGGCTGTGTTGTGTTCACCGGTCCATCATGCTGAGGATCATCTCTGGCGTCAGTTCTCCGTTGGCGGCGGCGGCCGCTGTTTCTTCATTCACAGCCAGCTCAACAGTCTCCACCCCTTCCCCATCTAGCCCTACCCCCTCCACTGTCAGGGCCACTCCCTGCTCCAGAGGTGTCGCTGCAGAGGCGTCACCATCCTCCTTCTTCACTATGATGTTCTCCACTGCTCCAGTGCTCTCATCCTCCACCTGAATGATGGCAGCAGCTACAAAACACAACAACAAAGACACATTCAGATGCTGCATTCAGGGGTTGTGAGAACAAAAAAGTGGCCATTCTTTCGAATGACGGAAAGAATAGAATTTTTCTGAAGGAGCCAAGACAATAACTGATCATCTCTGGTCTTTATGTGTTAACTGATTATTCATGATAATGCTATATTTTTGCATATTGAGCGCACATGCACTTGTTTGTTTACAATTCAGCTGTGATGTATTCTGTTATTTTTGTTTTTAGATATGGTGACTAACGCTCGAGCCACACTGCCAGTGTGAGCAACACGTGCATCACAGAAACTCTTGTTTTTTATTTCAGTGCCAGTGTTAACAGGTTAGAGCAGCCACACTGCCAGTGTGAACAGCGCTGCTCAGTGACTGCTCAGTGGGGGAACATCTCAAAATAAGAAATGTCTTGAATACGAATATTCAACAATTCATTTGAATGGGGGCTCAGTGGGACAGGTAGTGTGACAGCAGCATTCACATAGTACAATAAACACTAATGGCACTAATGACAGATCAGAAATGGGCAACATTTTTTCCTGACACTAGATGCCACACAAACACCAGAAACACCAGGTAAGTATCTGTGAGCTGTAAATTCAAATTGTGGCTTTTAATTTTGGAAATACAGTAGTTACAGCAGCAGGCCCCTCTGTGTGAGCACTGCACACATGCGAGTCACAGCGGTTCAGTGAGGTAGCCGTCACAAATTGCTCACACAGGCAGTGTGGCCTCTGCATAAAATAAAGGCATGTTCGCACTGAGCACAGCACTGTACAATGGTAAAGTTTAACTGGGATTTGTTTACAGAGTTGCAAAGAGAAACTGACATGACATTTCATGAAAATGCTGCAAATTATAAGGTAGATGGAGAGATCCAAGAAGCCAGCTGAGATGTTGAGTTTCACAGTTCTTTGGCACACTCAGTAACAACTATATACATCAACCTCTCTGAAAGCTGCAGCCTGATAGGTCACTATGTACAACTTTTGTTTGTGCATGTTCAGCATGACATGCACATTTCAGTAAAATAACATCCAGTCTGAAATCTAAATGCATAACAGTCATTCTCAGCTGCAATGCTTTGATAGTCCTATTCAGCAGTTTAATTATGACTGATAGGAACTGCACTGCTTTAGCATTATGTTTATTTTTTTAGCTGTAGTGCATGTTTCACAACACTTATTGCATATGACCACCCCAAGACAAAATGCATCCTGTTTTCCATTAAAGTGCTCAACATCAACAGGTCTAATAAATCCTGTCAGTGTTCTCACCAGAAGCAGTCGCCTTGGTCGCCACTCTGACTGCTTTGCTGGGTGTTGGAGGCTTGGGGGCATTCTTTGGGGGTCGGCCTCGTTTCCTCTTGACCGGTGGCTCATCAGGGGCTGGTACTGGGATGGCAGCAGGGGCCTGGTCCAGCTCCATGTTTTCCGGCTCCTCCTCTTCCTGCAGCAGTGCTGCTTCTTCTTCACCCTCACCCTCTTCATCCTCATCTGGTTCAGCGTGATCCTCCTCTGCATGACACAGAGATACAGCAAAGACGGAAATCAGATTAACTAGTCCAGGGTGTCTACAGTTATAAAGAAGTTTAATTTAAGATTTTTAAAGATGTTTTTAATACCGCTTAAAGTTAAATTTAAGACCAAATAACACAGACCATACTTTCTGAGCTTACAGCATTGTATGTACTATTCCACCTCCCTGATTCCCATTTCCCATACCACAACTGAAACAACTACAGCGCAGTTTGCTTAATAAACATTTCCAGGCTCTGGCTTTAATCACCTTGAGTAATTGTTGTTATTTTTTAAGCTATTTGTAATTACATTTGCATTTTCCTGTTATTCCATAGCTTGCAAGGTCTTAGTGGGGGGTGATGATATGCAGCAAAGGGCCGCAAGCCGTAGTTGAGCCTGCGACTGCTGCAGCGAGGCATCGCGTTTGTACATGGGGCGCCAGCACTGTCCACTAAGCTACCGATGCCCTGTGTAAGACATTTTAAGATTTTTAAGGACCCACGGCCACCGTGTAATCAGAACAGATCAAACACAGCGTCATGCCCACACTTGTATGCAATGTAAAATTCTCACCGCTGTCATCCTCATCTCTCCTGCTCCTCATCTTCCTCTTTCTCCCTCTTCTCCCTTTTTTTGGGGTTGGAGCTCCATTCTCTGCTTCCTCCACCTCACCGCTGCAGTTCTCTGCGTGTCGGGCCATGGTGTTCTGCAAGAACGCACTGTTAGGTAGCCTGTTGACTTTTAAAACGTACTATTTTTTAGCCCATGTTGAACCACCTAAGAGGTATGTGACAGGTAGAAAGAGTGTTGTTACCCTGCGAGTGAAGGTCTTGCTACACTTGGGGCAGACGAAGGCTGTGGGGACGAAGTTGGGGTCATGGTAGCGTTTGAAGTGCATGTCCAGCAGCTGCTTCTGCCTGAAGGTCTTCTCACACTGGCTGCAGGCGTAGGGTTTTTCTCCAGTGTGGGTTCGACGATGCATGACCATGTGGCGCTCCTGGACCCAGCAGGATGCACAGTTATATACCACAGTTAAACCGACAGTACTATAGATCAGTTCAAATCATGTTTTAGCTATGGTACCGGCATTGCCCTTTATTGATCTATCTGTGGGTCTGTCCATCACTATGTCGACAACTACTGGATGGATGGCCTTCATGGTGCCTTGAGGATGAATCTTAAAGATTCTGATTATCTCCAAACTTCTCACTTGTACAGTAAAATTACTAAACATCTACCAGCAGACAAACTTAACTAAGATGGTGAACAACTCACAGAGCCACCATCATTGCTGTAATTCAAAAATGAATATTTTTTTATTATTTTATTTGGGTGACATATTTAATATTCAAGTGACATTACTTGCTACGAGAATGTTAACCCTACGCATCAATACTCAAAGACGTTAGTGTGCACACACCTGGCGGCAGCAGTAGTCACACATGTCGCATTTGAACCTCTTCTCGTTCTTATGGGACTTCTGATGCTGGATCAGGGCGTAGCGCTCATGGAAAACGGCGTCGCAGTAACGACACTTCTTTCCAGTCTCAATGAATGAGTGCTGCTTACGGAGATGGACACCTGGAGATGCACACACATAACAGAGGAAAACACATCAGGGGAATGAAAAACTCTGGCAGTGTAAACTATCTTGTCTGTCTGGTGATGCCTAGTTCACACTGCACAGGACTTAAGCCCTGATTTTCTGCTCAATGACACGTTTTGGTTGACAAAAGTCCCAGGTTAGAGGCAAATACAGGCAAGCGTGTATGTTTACAAAAAACAAAAAAAACAATGATAAAGTATATCAGTTTAAACATTAAATAGCTTGTCTTTGTACTGTATTCAAGTGAATATACACCTATCAGCCATCGACAAGTGCCACTGTCAAAGGGGGTTTACTTGGTCTGCAACAGTGTTTAGGTGGGTGGAGCGCATCAGGTAGCATTTACATGAATGCCAGGACTCAAGGTTTCCCAATGGAACACTGCACTGTAACAAGATGATTAATGTTATTCACTTCACCTGGCAGTGGTTTTAATGTTTTGGCTGATTGATGTATGTCGAAATAGATTTACAAATAATTGCATTCGGTTTTCATTTATGTTTTTCAGTGTCCCAACTTTTTTGAAATCAAGGTTGTATCTGGACCTGTTGGGAACTTGTTGGCGAGCTACAGCCAATACGAGCGCAAGACACAGGCTGACGGCAGAGACGAGCAGTGTTGCAGTGCTCTACAAGGTAAGTGTATGTGTGTGTGTGTGTGTGTGTGTTTAAGAGAGAGAGTGATAGTGACAAGGAAAGGGAAAGGGAAAGAAAAGGTGGAGGGTAGACTATTGCACACAATAACTTACTTGGAACAGTGCTTGGTCACTTTTTGACTTATATTTTTTCTAGTTAACACCCTGTGACTGTGGGCTGTGTGTGTGAAACCCTCACCAGCCAGTATAAAAACCACCATGACTTCAAGACTCCCAATAACAGGACAGATAGTTGTGTAATGTAGACAGTGCAGCCATCTAATGACTTTGAAAGTCATGCAGTGTGAACTAAGTTAAAGGGATAGTGCACCCAAAAATGAAAATTCAGCCATTATCTACTCACCCTCATGCCGAGGAAGGCTCAGGTTAAGTTTTAGAGTCCTCACAACACTTGCGGAGCCTCCATTAGGTGGAGTTGTGTTGCTACCCCCTCTCCCCTGGGATCTCTGCCAGTGTTGTGAGGATTCTAAAACTTCACCTGAGCCTCCCTCGGCATATGGATGATTAGATAATGGCTAAGTTGTTTTTTTTTTGGGTGCACTATGCCTTTAAGTTTCACTGTGTGTGTGTGTGTGTGTGTGTGTGTGTCAGTGTTACCCAAGTCACTCTTGCGTGCGATGACAGTGTCACAGTGTGGACAGTGGAATTTGGCCACATTCTCTGTGTGTTTCTGCAGAATGTGCATCTTCATGGTTCCACTCTGGGTGAATCGGGCATGGCAGATGTAGCACTCATAAGGTTTCTCTCCTGAGAAGAGGATGGAGAATGTACAAAGGTTGATCATTGCTCTCATAATCTTATGAAGTAACAATCGGGTAGGAGGTATGAAACACAATGTAAGATTTAGCCCAAAAGTATAGATTTTAACAATCCTGCATTCATCAGTATTTATAGATAAATATGATACTTCTCTAGTTGGTTGTAGTTGACAATAAATGGGGGAGGAGGTGAGCAAAAGGTCAAATGACCTCCTAACCTGTTGATTGGAATCCTTTTTTTTGTTTTTCAAGGGAGCTAAAAAAATAACCATGTTAACATAAAAACATCACTTTATATGCCTTTATCCCCAGAATAAAAACAAAACAAACCAAAACTGGAATTGTCACCCCACGATTGTATGCCTGTAAAAACATGGATGCTTCACAGCCACAGAACAGATGATCAGCAGTTTCAAGGTAGACACCCAAGATGGGTGAAGTTGACCTTTGACTTTTTGGATATAAAATGTCATCTCTTCATTATTTTATCCTATTAGACATTTTTGTGAAGTTTTGTCATAATAAGCACATGAATACTTGAATTATGGCCAAAAAACCTTTATTGTGAGGTCACGCTGTCCTCAACTTTTGACCACAAATTTCTAACCAGTTTATTCTCAGTCCTAGTGGACATTTGTGTCAAATTCAAAGAAATTCCCTCAAGGTATTTTTGAAATATTGTATTCACAAAAATGAGAAAGACAAGGTCACAAGGATCTTGACCTGTGACAACCAAATTCTTACCAGTTCATCGTTGAGTCCAACTGAATGTTTGTGCCAAATTTGAAGAAATTCCCTAAAGCTGTTCTTGAGATGTGGCGCTCACAAGAATGAGATGGATGCAAGGTCACAGCGACCTTGACCCTTAACCCTCCACCACCAAAATCTTAGGTCATTGTTCAACTAAGTGAACATTTGTGCCCAATTTGAAGAAATTCCCTTAAGGCGTTCTTGAGATATCGTGCTCATGAAGACAGGATGAATGAATGTTACGTACGTACGGACAACCCGAAAACATAATGCCTCTGACCACAGCTATCACCAGCGCAGAGGCATTAATAAAACACTGGTGCTATATTTCTGAAAACTAACACATGCCAGTTGTTCTTCTCCAGTGCTTTTGAAGGTAGAAAAGCAGTTAAGCGGTTAAGTTTACCTGAGTGTGTCCTCATGTGTCTCTTCAGTTTGTATGTGTCTCTGCTGGCGTAGCTGCAAAGACTGCACTGGAATGGACGCTCACCAGTGTGGGAACGAATGTGACGCTTTAGTTTGCTCACCTACAAAACATCCACACACAAACACATGGTCACATATCACAACACTACAGCAAAAAATGCACCTGCCATCATAAAGACATGGCTGCTTGTAACTATTTTAGACTTAGAACTGTTTTATATCTACTGTTTGAAGCAGTGTAGATGAACTCTTTAATTTCCTCCCTCAGAGCTGCTGACTAGACAACTGTGGATGTAGTCTTCACTGTTCTTTATTCCTGACTGAGTGGATGTGGGTGAAAGTGAGTATAGCAAATGTAAAAGATTAAACTTTGTAACAAAAACAAAGCAGACAGGAGCTTGTGTTACCTCCACACTGGCGTAGTCACACATAGAGCATTTGAAGGGTTTTTCGTGTGTGTGTTTGTAGCGACGATGACGAACCAACTCTCCACTGGTCACAAAAGCCATATCACAGTCTGTGCACTTGTGTGGACGAGTTCCTGCATTAAAAAAACAAACAAAAGGACACGTTTTAGCTATTCTTGCATGGTAATGGAAAACCGAATCAGTCATCTGTCTCCTTTGAAACTAGTCCTACTGTTGTGGTCCCATTAGAGTCTAATGTTAATAAGACGAGGTGTAGTTGTGTATACCAGTGTGTGTATTGAGATGGTTTCTTAGCAGGGTGACTGTCCTGAAGGCTCTTCCACACAGGTGACATTTGTGAGGTCTCTCGTCTGTGTGGCTCTTCATGTGTCTGTCCAGGTTGGAGCGTCGAGGGCACGTGTAGCTACACAGCTCACACTGAAACGTCTTCTTCACTCCTAACACATGACAACGACACACACACCTCACATTCAATTACAGTGTTTTTATCTTTTTCCCGTAGCTACTGTCTCCGCGCAAAACAAAGACATAAGAGATACTTAAAATCGCATCTGAAACATACCTGAGAACTGAACAAAAACTTTATTAACTTATTATATTAAGCTTCAGTTACAATTTATGTGATTTTTGAAAAACAAAATTTTGTAGAAACAATAAAAAGATGATGTTTTCATCACAATACAATTTCACTTAAAGTCGATGAGCAATAACAGTGAATAGTCAGATACCATTTTTTTTCATCACTTTTAGCATACGTGACCACTCATCTCATTCTGAAAAACAACAACAACAAAAAAAAAAAAAAAAAAAAAAAAACTGATGACACAGTAAGACATGTTGCATTTTTGTGTACAGGAGCCTGCAGCCAATAAATGCAGTGGACTCTGAACAGAAGCTAATCCTGGCAATCTTTTCTCTTCTGCATAGGGTGCTTTCACGCCTGTAGTTGGATTCATTTGGTTCACACCAGAGGGAAATAAATGATACATTGTTGCATTTTAGTTTTAGAGTTTTTGCAAATGAACAAAGAGGAGTAAACATGAAGTTCTACTAAATGACAAGTAACTTAGTGATGGGACAGTTTTCTCATTTGTCATCCTGCATCATCAGTTCATCATCAGGATCAACATGGAGAAATCATATTCTGGTGACTGACAGAAGTTTATGTAGCAGCACTTCAATGCTTAGAATGTCTTTATATTTCTGTTCTTTGGTTTCATAAAGAGCTCACAGAGCTGTAACTAGGGCCTTAACGGTACATGTATTTGTGTCGAACCGTTCAGGATGCGACTTTCGGTTCGGCACGACCCTGTACCGAATTATTGGGCGCAGGATATTATTTTATCTTATTTTGTTTTATTTTAATTCCGTTTTTGCGAGCCGAACCATTTAAAATATCTAGTTCCCCTACGGACATAATTGAGTGACGGACCGAGTCCGACTGTAAATCTCCGCTTTCACTTTTTTTTTTATTTGTGCAGCGCATTCTCGCATTTTGACAACATGGCAAGTGAGCCTGACGAACCTGAAGACCCACCCGCAAACCTTAAGGAACACTTGGGAACACTTTGGTTTCAGGGTAAAATATGAAGATGGAAATAAACTAGTGGACAAGTCAAAAGCAGTGTGCCGACACTGCAGAACATCTGTCTGGTATGTACTTGGAAACATGTCTAACATGCTAACTCATCTAAAGCGACACCACCCGAGTTTGAACGTTAACCGGCACGACTAGAAAGAGCAATCTGGTGCAAACTACGATATTGTCGTCGTTTAAAGAGAAAGAGCGTTTCCCTGACCATTCTGATCGCGCTAAAGAAATAACCAACGCCATTGGAGTTGAGTAAAATTGTTTAAACTGCACTTTAGATATAAGCATGTTTTGTTTACTGCACTTTAACAAAGTGGGAAAGCTAAGTAAGTTCCTAGTAAAACTGAATCTGAGCAGGCTTTAAAGCTGACCAGCTGCACTATACTTTTTATTTTATTTGAGTAAAATTGTTTAAGCAGAAATTTATATTTATATTTTTCATTCAAAAAATGTGTTTAAAAAACAGCAGGATTTTATTTTGCACTTTTATATTTCTATTTCCATTCAAACAATGTGAAAAAGCAGGATTTTATATATATTTGTTTCATTCAAAAATTGTGTAAAAAGAGTTAACTGCTGTGGTGGTATGTTTTATGTTTTTTCATACTGTACCGAAAAAAACCAAACCGTGACTTGTGTACCAAGGTACGTACCGAACCGTGATTTTTGTGTACCGTTACACCCCTAGATGTAACTGATTGTAAGCATCACAAGTAGGCTATTATTAAGCCCCCTTTCCACCAAGCAGTACGGTACGGTTCAGTTTGGTACACGTTTTTCCGTTTCCACTGTAAAAAGTTGTGGATGGAACCAATGGAACCGTGCCGTACCTTTACCATTTTTGGTACCCCTTCTGTTGGGGTACCTAGCACACAGATCTGGTACTAAAAGGTGGAGCTATGAACACTGCAGTCTGTTGATGTGTCATGAGCTGATGGTCAGTCTGCTCAGGGCTGAGTTGTGGCTGGTTTGAGGCAGAACCACTGTTCATATCGTGGAGAGTTTAATTAGTAGACTATAACTATATAATATAAGGATGTTTTGCTGCCTCTTGAAGCAGCTGGAGTCGGAGGAAAAAGTAAATTCATTCACTGGGCCAACTGCCGGGATTTTTTAAGGTGGAACATTAACTTGACGATGAGCTGACGATGTGAATCCATCAGCACACCTTAAATATCCACATGACAACTTTGACCATTACTTGAATCTTTTATATGACATACACTTTTAGTAATGAGTGGATCTTCAAGCTTTTATACGTATCAATTTTCACCCGGGTTATAGGAACTGCATATATTCTAATCCTCACTTGAATGGAAAAAAAGGGTCGCGTATCGTCAGGCTACTGCATCACCCCAAGCTTGCCTGAGAAGGACTACATGCACAAACCCGCTATATTTGAAAATCCCAATGGCGAGATACTCTCACTGCAGCCTGTTTTATTTTGTTCTGAAAATGTCGTTGTGCAGCCTAGTTCTGTGGACGATAAACAAGGTGCAGACCTTCCTTTGTGTCACCGATAATGAGGAAATACAGCAAGTGCAGGACGGAGAACTGAGTGACAACAACCCTGCTCACATTTCAGGGCACGGTTTAAGGTGGAAATGCTAGGGTCTAGGTACCATGTCTGAAGGGTACTTTCGGTTCCAAAGGTACCATACTGAAAAATGTTTGGTGGAAACAGCTTTAGACTGCAAATCAATGGCATGTTATGAAAAACAACTAACACAGAGACAGATAAAAAGAAGGCTTGCAAAAGCCTTGTACAGTATTGATTCAGGGCTTAATACTGTGGGATCACTGTCACACACTTTTTAATGAACTTAATGAATAGACAAAGTACACGGAGTCAAATACAATAATGGCAGTTTTAACAGCTTTTTAATGAGGGAATATACCCTCACTGAATAAATGGGTTATGGGATATATGTGGCCTCTACCAGGATTAATTCTAAGTCGCAGATAGATTTCACGATCAGCAGATGGATTAATTATTGGTTTAGCTGTTGCTAAAATCACATATCTGCTATCATAAAATCCTGTGATTGGTTTGTTTTCTTTCACATTTGGACAGGGACCAAGACGCAGTTGTTTGGTCCACACTTGGGAACAACTGACATCCTTCACACTAGCTAAAATGAACCGTACTAACTGTGCAAATGGACCTGAGTCTGTTTTAACCGAACCTAAAGGGTTAGGTGTGAAATCACCCTTAGACTCTAAGCTGGTGCACATAACCATCATATATTGAGCAATGTAAGAATACAAAATAAACATAATCAAAATAATCAAGAAAATGTTCTATCTTGTTTAAAAAATGGTCTAAAAAGCATTTCATTTTCAGATTAGGTTAAACAAATGTTGTTGTCTTTGTTATTATATTAGCACTGACGACAGAAATAATGAGACTATGGTAAGAACATAGTAGTATTACAATGCATCGTTATATGTTGTGAGTCTCCAGGACTCACAGGTTGTCATGTGAGTGGATCCTCAATAAACGTTCTATTTTTGACAAACTGTAGTGTGAAACCTGTCTTGGATGTCATATGAGAGGCTTGGGCCTTATCATTCTATTACAGTATATTGAGAAATCCTGACGGCATGATTTTCAATATCGTCAAAAATACAGACGCTTATCCTTCTCTTAACCTCACAGTAAGAGGTTGCATTAAGACTGTACTGTGTGTAGTGCATAACACGAACCACCAGAGGCCAGTCTCTACTGGTGGAGCAGGCAGCTGAGCTGAGAAATGACTGTGAGTGGTGGGATTAACAGTACAGGACAGGTGGCTAACAACAGCAGAAAGACTGCAGGGAAAAACATATTTTTCCCATCTAACTCAGTAAATTAAGGGTTTATTGTAGACTGACCAGTTTTGGTGAGTTTTATTTTGTTTATGTTGATTTGAAATGAAGTGTGTTTTTCGAAGCATTCACAAGGTAACTAAGCTTGTCTTTTTTCAGTAAAAGAGAAACTTGAATTCTGGCTGCGTTCAACGTTTCTCCGTTTCAAAAGGTAAATAGGTGTAAAAATATACCTTTCCTGACTTTTGTGAGTTTGTATTGTTTATTTATTAGACTCACCATTAGACACCTTTTAAATGTTTATTTGAACAACAGAACATAGATAGAGTTTGGTGTCTTGACTCTGGCCTCATTCCTCCCCGCAGATATCTTAGGGAGTGATGATTCCCCCCCCCCCCTTTTTTTTGTTTGTGTGTGTGTCATTGCCATTACACCACTAGTCCAGCAAACAGCGGGTTCTCACCTTTCTTTTTGATCTTAGTGGGTTTGGGTGGTTTCATGTTGCCCACCACTTTCTCAGCATTGACCTCAGACAGAAGGCCTTCCTGCTGTTCCTCTTCAAAGTCATAGACACTGACATCCATGTCCTTGTCTCCTTCAGCATAACGCAGACGACTCTTTTTACCCTGGACAAAACAGCAACTCATTAGACCTCATCATCAGCTGACGACAGTTAAAGACACACCTGTCAACATGTTGTCTAAGTCCAGTTCAATTACAGAGAAGACTTTTACTTCCACTACAACAGATATTGATAACACACAACTAGCTGACCTTCTTGGTCTTCTTGATAGCTCCAGATGGGGGCTGATAGTCTGGGTCTTTAGCCCAGTTTGGGTCGTCGGTCGGGGGTGGAATGGGTTCATCCTCCCCTTCTTCAAGTAGCTGATTTCCAACCTCCTCATCTTCCTCCTCTTCAGGGTGGGCTTCTCCTCCCTCCTCCTGCTCCACTGTCTCTACCTCCCCATTAGCACCAACCTTGACAACCTACACATCAAATGCATTCACTGTTTGGTCAATTAATCACTTAAACTTAAACTGGTTTTATTCTGTAGTTGCTGAAGTGTATGAGAGAATGATGTTCCTGATGATGTTCATTATTTCTAAAATAATGCCAATCTTTACTGTACTCTGTGTTTGTCCACCTCAGCCTGCTAGTGCTGCAACCCTGCTCTCTATTCTGACATACAGTGCATTTCACTGTGAGGAAAAATTAGAGTGTATGAATGTAAAAAAGAAATTGGATGCACTACTGCAGAACACACAGATTTTCTAATGGAAAATGCAATGGGGAATGTTACAGGCTGATGCTATGCTGTATTTGTGGGAAAAACATATCTAGCCAAAGACAAAGTTTTGTCTGTGAACTTTGTGAGCTATAATGGAGCCCTATTTTGTACTTTTGTTTAATAAGGTTACTGTTAAGCCATGTTTTATGTGTGTTTTAGGTGTGTTAGTTTAGTCAAACTGAACTGCAAACACAGTGAAACCCCATAGAAAACCCACTACTAATTAACATTTCAGAGGTGTAACTTCAGAGTGCCCCAGACACACCACAACACAACTTTAAATTAGCCTTTTGAAGGCAGAAAAAAGTAGTTTATCTATTTTACCTTGTGTGGCCTTTACACCGATGTAATAACATTCAAGTCAGACTGAAAGGATAACGTCAGCATTTTTTGACCTGGACCCTGTTTCCCCTTGCAAATTGATAAGAGAGACAAGAGACTGCAACAACAATTTCTGAAATTGGTTTAGTATTGAGGGAGCTGGGAGCAGCTGGCAGCCATGGAACGAGCTGTAATGGAAGCACATGGGGCCACTGAACGTCATCACTGCGTGTCCGTTAAAAGTGGTTATTTTTGCCACAGAGCAGCTCAGATTGTTATTATAAGTGTCTGAAGTGTCTTTACTTTTCACTTGATCCGGTCGATTTGTTATTGCCTTGTTAAGTAGAAGTCTCTCTTTGAAATATCATGAGGAAGCTGCTGGCTCCCTCAATACTAGAAAAGTTTCAAAAATCGATCTCTTTAATTAACTGACACATGGAAATAGGGTCCAGGCTGAAAAATGCAGAAGTTATTCTTTAAGCCATGTTGGAAGTTTTACACAGAAGTTTTTAGAAAAATTAAAATGGTGAGGTTTATGTAAAATGGACTCAAACGTTTTTATGTGGCATTTCTGCCAGAGGCCTAAAACTTGATGAGGTTGCTAATTTTGAAATTCAGTCACACATTAGTGTTAAACATTTGAGTTAAAGCCTGACCCATAAGTCTGTTTGTGTACCTGAAAGCCCTCAGGCAGCGGCAGGGTGTGGCAGATGACTGGGTCTCCGTCCTTTGGCATAGCAGTGGTGTCTACAAAGGTTCCTTGCTGCAGGGCCTCCACAGTAGTGGCAGAAACAGGCACCTGGACCAGCTGGAGCTCCCCAAGACCCAGAGCTGCCTGCTCCTCCATGTTTACCACCTGACAACAGAGAGACCTGAGGTCAGCACACATGTCCGGGGAAACAACAGGTTATCTACGAAAACAAATTCAATATCTAAGGGTGGATACAACTATTGGGGCTATATCTTCTTAAAGGCTTACATACATCTTTTGAATCCAGCTTTTCTCCCACAGGAACAAACTGTGAAATAACTGGAAGATGCTATCATGTAGAGCACCTACCTGCAGTGTGATGATTTGAGTCTGGTCCACTGTTGTTACAGTTGCTTGGTGAGCAGCACCCGCTACCCCTCCAACAACACCCACAGTTGCTGATGTTCCCCCCACAGCAGCATCTATCACCTGCAAATCAGTGTTATTTTAAAGGGCTGTTACATGAAACTTTGAGTAAACCAACAGCTCCAGCAAGCACGTTAGGCGTCCTCACTTTTAGCTGATTTCATTTCTAAAACTAGAGTGACATCAGCAATAATTGAACTTTCCTGTGAGGCCAAGCCTGTCTAACAGAGAGCTTACCTCAGTCTTCATCTGCAACAAAGTGGGATCCAGTGAGTCCATAACCATCATTTCAACCCCTGCTCCACCTTCCACACCAACCCCCACCCCAGCTTCCATCAGCTGCTGCTGGGCCTGGGTGGCTGCTACCATTCCTTCACCGTGACCTGAAACACAACATTGCTGGGAATAAAATACTGACCTACATTCTCTACGAAAACGTACATTATTGCTTCTACTTGAAATATAAATCTACTACTTTGTGCTCTGGATACATAATGAATGCAGGACTACTTCATGTCCAGTTAGTAAGAACCTTGTTCCAGGACGACTCCAGCTTGTCCCTCTACCACGCCCCCGGCCTCCGCAGCTTGCTGGAGGAGGTCAGCCACCATGGCATCCTGGCTGTGAACGGCCTGGATGGAGGGGAAGTCTTTGGTGGGGACCTCCACCACCCCTACACCCTCTGTTGGCCCTCCGTCCATGCTGGGTAGGAACTGAAATATGGCATTGTGGAAACAAACACTATCAGCAGTATATTACCTCATCTCTGATTCCAATTTCTCCCCATTGTTGGTCCACATTGATGCTGAGCAGGATTAAACACTGGAAATTGACACTTTTGCATTCACCACAAATTCAGACCAAAATCTTCCTTTTCCCCAAATAAAATCCTCACAATGTGCATCTTTATGTTCATATATTGAAGATTGTTGTATTAAACTGTTTCATCTGACCAAAAGTCCAAACCCACAAAACACTGAATTTACATATAAGATTTTCAAAAACTACATATATTCACATTTGAGTTGCTGAAACCTGTTTTTAGTGTTATGCTTAGACAATTAACTATTAAGATGTCGTTAATCAACTACTTGTTTTAGCTCTGATACTCTTTTATATAAACACTGAGGCAAAACTAGTAATAGTATATTATGAAAAACAGATTACCGAAAATTCACAATCATTAGCTAGTGTACTTTATAACTATATTACAATCTGGACAAACACCATTCTGTGACTTAATATCTGTAGTTCCATTTAAAATCAAATTTTGTTTATGACAGAAATTCCAGCTTTCCCCCCCAAAAAAGACAAGGCTTATAATACTATTTGTGTGTATGCAGTGGTGCTTGTAACTTAAAAAAAAGGGGTTTACTGCACCATTTGGTGTTTCTTTTCCCTATTTTATGCAGAATTTTGCCATGGCCGAATCCAACCAAAATTACAATAATGTACAGTCAAACTACTTAAAATTTTATACAACCAGGGGGACATTTTGGGCAGCTTCTCTTGAACCTAATATGGAAAAGTTTTTTTAAAAAAAATCATATTAGGACTTTTCTTCGATTTAATAATACAGAGCCGGATTGGCAAGTTAATCGGAGGTGCCCAATTTTCCGCCTTGTAGGGTAGTCATATTGGCAGAACTCTTTTAGTTTAAACAGACCGAGGCGGCCTTCCGCAACAGGAGGGGCTGTTAAAGACTTGTGGGAGGAGCTGTTGATGATGCCGCACGTGTGACCCACTGGTGTTGGATAAACAGGAAACAGCTGATAGCAGAATTAGCGAGCAGTTAGTAGCAAGAGGGAAACGCAAACCTGACAGACACTGTAATGATGAGCAACTGACAAGGAATTGTGCACCATTCTTGCCCTCGCAAATGAAGAGGCCATTAACTGTCAGATGACGGGGACGGTAAGGAGCGGGCCAACTTACGAGAATTGCCAAAGGACTGACCAGCTGCGGCTTCCCTCCTGTGTCACTGGTTACATCACATGCTAAGCTACACGTTTTGTTACTTGCTCACGCTCTCCATTGCTCCGAAAAAGGCGCATTATGTATAAACATAATGCGCTGCATTCCCCGCACTCCCCGATTTTGTTTTTATACTGCCAATGACTGATTGGGATTTCCTGCAAATTCGCACAATTCCTATCTAATAAGGGCTTAAGTCACTGAGCCACATACAGTTACTGAAAAAAAAAAAAAACGCCAATATGTTCTATAAATTATTATTATTTATGTTGAATAAAATAACTAAAAATTATGAAAATATGTGTGCTACATGAGACCAATTTAGTATATTTTTGTTACTTTTTTTAATAGAAATATTCACTAATATTGGCAAGTCAACATGATGGTATTGAGAAACATCAGTCTGAGTTATTTAAATAGTAGGCCTAATACAATGATGATTTCTCAGTCAGTTAAACAGAGGGCTGTCCTCCTGTTGCCAACATAAGGTGAAACTGAGTAAAGACACTACAGCTGGGTCTGCACTGTTGAATATCCAACTTCAAACTAACTTAACTGTGGTGCAGTGTTTACAGTGCTACTTTACAATGCTGTGCTGCTCCTCATGTCTATACATGCATAGAAAGTGTCCTCTCTTCGCTCCGAAACATTATCACTTAAATTTTTTTTGTTGCTTAAAAAAAATAGATGTGTGTTGAGCATAAACTGTTTCATGAGAGCATGTGAAAAGTTTCAACTGCATGAGGCTTACAGTCAATGCATGAGTTGGCAGCTGTACCAAGTTATGAACACTGATGGATGCAGAGCGGATGATCACATGGACAGCTAAAATTTTAAGTGCACTACTATGTATATGCATGTGGTATTTCAAGCCCTGGTGGTGTTACCAGCAAGTAGCCTTGCTGTTTTAAGTTACAACAAACCATTAAATCCTAGTGCTGAGCATAGTTTACGCTTGTGTCAAGTTAAATTCACCCACAGTGAGCTGGCAAAGTTTAACTATTTTGAATCTCAGTGTTCTTGATCGATATCTTTGGTTACCTACATGGCCCGCTGCACACTGTAACCAACTGTTCACTGCTGACTTTTGACCCACAGTTTGGTGAAAAAGGTGTGTCTTAGAAAATATCAGTGGCCAATTTGACATATTTCAAAAAAGCCATTCTTGTGAAATTGTTGGCACTTTACATTATTAATGTTACCTGAAATAGGAACGATAAACTGAAACTGTCATGATTTCTGTAGACTTGGCCGCAGCCTGCAGGGTTTTGAGACAGGTGATCTCCCTTTTTGCTTTGCCGCTGAAAGCCCTGAGCTTTGCTGAATCCAATGTCTGCTATCTGACTGTCCCTGCCAACCTGAGAGAGGGAAGAGGAAAATGTTACACAGCTGCACCTAGACACAGAGATGTTTCCTTCACATACAAACACCATGACTTTATCAGCCTACGCATCTCTGATGTTAAATGTTCTGTTCAAGACACTTGCATTCACGTGAGGCTTTAGGCTGCTACCTGACTGTAAACCTGCAAGAGGGGAGGGAGAATACATCATCACAATGAGATGGGCAGATACATTCACTCTACTACTCAGTGCTTCCATAACAGCTCATCTTCTCTTTTTATTTTTCCAGCTCAGCAGCTGAGAATGCCCCTATTTTCTGGAGTATACTATCAAGACCAAGTGATTAAGTGAAGTGGTGAACGAGGTTACTCAAACTGTCACACATAAAAGGGACTGCTTAATTTTCAATTTGCTGTGGGTGTCAATCCAACTTTGAATAAACAGTTGAAGAGATTCTTTGCAGTCTTCCAAAACAACTTTCATTCACACAGTGCCTTCCTTATTAGGTAAAGAAGCTTTATACCAAGCAAGACCTCATTTGCATCTAGAAGCAGCAGGAATGTTCAAGACATAAGCCCCTTTTACACTGCGAGATTTTCCGCGAATGTTGGGCTGTTTTGCCGGCAAGCTATAGCGTTTAGACACACAGAGCTGGATTGGCGAGTTGATTCGAGGCGCCCAATTTTCCGCCTTGTACTGTAGTCATGTTGGCGGAACCCTTTTAGTTTAAAAAGAACGAGGCGCCCATCCACAACGGGAGGGGCTGTTGAAGACTTGTGGGAGGAGCTGTTGACGACGACGCACGTGCGACCCACTGGCGGTGGATAAACAGGAAACAGCTAAAGCAGGAATTAGCGAGCAGCTAGTAGCAAGAGGGAAACGCAAACCTGACAGACACTGTAATGATGAGCAACTGGGGAGACAAGGAAATGCGCGCCCTCCTTGCCCTCGCAAACGAAGAGGCCATTAAACATCAAATGACAGGAACAGTGAGGAATGGGCCAACTTACGAGAGAATTGCAGAAGGACTGACCAGCCGTGGCTTCCCTCCCACATCACTGTTTACATCACATGCTGAGCTACATGTTTTGTTACTTGTTCATGCCCCCATTACTCCGAAAAAGGCACATTCTGTATAAACAAAAGTAGGTAGGCAGCATTTTGCCGCACTCCCCGATTTTGTTTTTATACTGCCAATGCTGAAAGAAGACTGATTGGGCTTTCCTGCAAATTTCTGTGAGGGGTTACCACCCTTCTTAAACATGTGGTTAAAAACAGCAAGTTGATTTAATGTGAACGGGTAGAAAACATTTGTAAACAGACACCCTGCACTATAACTTAACGAAATGCTTTCTGCTTTAACAGCTGGACATAACACCAAAATGCATACCTTATTAACTCAAATGTGTTTGTGCAGATGCAACTTTAGTTTTATACACAATGTGGGACACTAAATAAACACTATTATATGTTGGGAGGATTCCCACTGAAATTGGGCCAATATATTTTGGATGATCAGTAACTAGATTTGGGGTCATTTAGAAATTGTTTCTCCATTAGGCTACATATTTAGGTGGTACCCTACATTTTCTCTCAAGGGACCTCCTTTCTGTCATTGAGTAAACTGATGAGCCCTGACTAAGTGACCTATTTTATCAATATTCCACATTATATTCAGTGCATAACAATAACAGTGCAGAATAACCGACAAACTGAACAATTAACCCAAATGCATAACTGCAGGAAGTTTGTGTAAAATGAGCTATCATGATCTGTTTCAGCAGATTATATTAATATTACATAGGAGATGAGTTCCCTGATATTTGTAGGAGCTTTTTATACAATTCTCTGTATCATTTTTTAACAATCACACTAACTTAAATGCTTCTTTTTTTTTTTTTTTTGAGTAATTCTATGTTTTCTTTTTTTTCTTTACTTGGCCATTGTTCTGTTAGCTCTTTGGTTGTTTCAAGTGCACACTTTTCTAATGCAAGTTGAGGCTGTTTAGCAGAGTGAAGGCTCTGTGCATATAGAAGAAGATATACGTTATTAATCCCTGAGGGGAGGGGATTAATAAAGTCCTTGTGGACTTAGCTGGCAATATGTTTCGTTGGTGTTCAGGTCTTCACTGTGGCCCATCAGATTTTTTTTTATTTTATCACACGAATAATAATCTAAATAAAAAAAAAAAAAATAAATAAAAAAAAAAAAACACTTTCATTTTCTTCACAGTGTTGAATAAAATCCTAACTGTCCAAATACCAATATCAGTACTGGGCCTAAGCACATCTGGTTATTTTGACTCTATCGCTATACATTCTCAAGAGATTTTTTTTGTATAAGACAAGCTGAGTTGTTTTTTTTGGTAATAGTTAACAACAGACCTTAAAATGATTTCCAAGCATTTCACAAGCTTAAAATCTTGCTGGCCCTTTTCTGAATTCAAAGAAATTTTCATTGGTGGGTTTGGTCCATGCTGAATTACCACTTATTCGCCCTAGTGCAAGAACCAGACTGTCTAAATCTAAAGACCCTGCAGGTCATTGAGTTAAACGATTTGCATATTTGGTCAAAAAATGATATAAGTCTTTAACCTTGCCTGCGTCATATGCTGGTTGTAGACATGACGCATATTTTAAATGAAGTAGCTTTTAACATTAACAATCAAAGTAGCTAATAAGATGGACTCTGAGTGTGTGTACTTGAGATGATGTCAATTGACCAACTGTATTCACTCATTTAAAAACACTGCAGCTGTATTCCGATCTCAACGTGATAAATACTGACAACTTGGGAAATGTAACCTGTATGTATTAGTGATGAGGAGTGTAGCAGCTACATAGTCATGTTTGTGACAATACCTAACATCTGTTTGTTAGGTATGCCATGTCATGACATCTTATCTTTATGTTGCTAAATGGTGGAGGCTCTGGTATAGGCCTTCATAGAGGCTTTGACTCACAGTAACGTTACATCAAATATACCACAACACAGCAATGATACTGAGCGTACAGCCGGGCAGCTGTCGCCTCCTTGCACAGCGCTTATATAGCGGTATTTTTGTAGCTCTCCAAGCCGAGTCGTAGAGGGAGCTCTCTGCTATAATATATATCTGTGGCTATGATGCTCTAGGTGGGCTTAGAATAGAGACAAGCGGGCGACGGGTGCAACAACAACTGCCAAATCCGACCACAGCGCGATGACAGGGAATAAAAGAAGAGAAATGCAGTGCTCGATCATGGAAGATGGCTGATTTACGGAAAACACAAATCGAGTATTTGGTCTTAGTGAATCAGTGGCCGCTGTGATCGCCGTTTTGCTGTGAATGCCTCGTCATTCTGTTTTCTGCGCTGGCCTTAACGTTACAGTCTCTGTGTGTATATTTCGCTACCAGGAAATCCTTAAGTAGATGCGACAACCTATTCAGTTAAACGAACTACTATAGCTAAGGTTAGCTGTGGAAATTTTGGGGGACTCCGGCGCTTTCGATACTATCAGACATAATGTTACTAAAGGCACTGGGTGGGGATAGGCCTAGACTGAATTGACCAAACGTTAGCTGTTTGGCTAACGCGAGTTGCTACATAGATTTCTTCAAATAAATCTCTGGTTTAATGTTACATAACATACTTAAAAGTACTGTCAGCTGGGTAAAAAAGCGACTCGGTGTTTGTGCGCACTCACAACTTAACGGCATCGTTCACGTAGGAATGCGTGTTGATTTTACACTCGGCATATATGAATGCAAAGAAACTAGCATTAGCTAAGGGCGATAACTTAAACCCGCCAGTTTCCATGTCGTCAAGGCAGTAAAGACTGGAAACAAAGAAGCGAGAAAATGGACGCCTCGGCCTAAACTCTCGAACCAAATCATCCAAGTATTCGTAACTTATCCTCGACGGTATTTTCACAGATACATGTAAAATACAGTGGGCTGTGTGTACATTTATCGCAACTTCGGATATTTAAACGTATTTTGACGGGTTTTTCAATAACGATAGAGGGAGACAAACACTCTCCGACGAGCTGCCCGGACCCAGAGCCCCATCGTGACACCTAGAGGCCGATTAAAGATCCTGCAAACTCCCCCCTTATCAGAAAAGTAGTGATACTTTACCTCTTTTTGAGTGTTTCTCTTCCCCTTTAACTCGTCCGAAAGCAGGGAGTCTGTGCTACAAAGTTTAATAGGCTGAGAAGAAATGCAGGCTTCTTCGCAGTTTGTTTTAATCCCTCTCCCGCTTTAGCAGAGTAGCCTCTGCCACAAAATGGCAGTTGGGAGCTCAGTGCGCCTGTGCGGCCGCTGGGGGGTGGTGTCGAAGCTGCTGCAGACACCCTGATTGGCCAGGAGGGGCGCCCCGTTGGAATACATTGAAGCCCATTTATCACAATGTTAGGAATAGGGCTTCTTTCCGGACCCTCGGATATATGAGATTTACTATTTGAAAAATTAATTAAACAAACATAAATACATTAACATAAACAGTATATACACACACACACAACTAACCATGCTAGGGATACATATATACAAAGAAAAGATTAAAGAAAAGGGAAAAATCAAGACATGAAGGAGGGGAAGACTGGGGAAACTTACAACACTTTGCATTTCTTTGTTACTGAGAGAATATTTGGACTACACCAGCCAAATTGATTTATATTAAACTTACTTCTGTCTGCTATGCATCCGTACCATTTAAACATGATCACATATGACATATCCTTCACTAAATTTATTTGAATGGGAGAAGTCAGATGTTACAACTGACCCCAAACCTGGGGACAGCAGACACGGGGATAGTTGCAACATGTTAAAATATATTACATTTCATTAATTAACATTAACGTTTTGTTTTTTTTGTCCCAAGAAGCATAGTTTACAGAAAACATGCATTGTTGTCCAATAATATTATAATACAATTTATTTATGCAATAATATTATAGTGTTATTGATTTATTTAATGATATTTATCAAATAAAGTTATTGAGTTTTTTTAGGGAACCCCTCTGTTAGAAACCCTCTTTCTCACTTTTGGCATACCGAAAACAAACAGAATAAAACGGTTTATTCAGTGTATAATACACACAATACAAATGAACATGTTAACTCCAGTGATTATGTAACTCAAAATGACATGCATAAATGTAGGCTATACATTTTTATGTAATCTTGTTTTTATTTTTTGTAATGGCATCGATGTGCCAATGTAGCAGACAACAGTTGAAAATTTTATATATTTGGGTGAGCTATCCTTTTATGTAATCACAATGTCTTGAGTATGTTGGAAAATACTTTCGTGTGGCCTGTTTTGGTATGGCTGTTAGCTGACCTAGATGGGTAGACACACTGACCTGGACACATGCAAACCATGTCAATTAGAAGTCAACAAGATAATCATTCAAACTAAGTAAGTTTGGATTAATTCATACAAAAGGTTAGAACAATATGACAAAAATACAGCTCCTGGGGAAAAAAGAAGTACTTTCATATCTCCAAAACATTTTTTTTTACAATAAATGCAGCAGCAAATGTTGAATGTGTCTTCTGTCTTCCTGTTGCAGGGGAGGGTCCAACTGAGCATGTGCAGTATGAGTAACATCATTGTAGCATGTTTCTGATTGGAAGAATAAGAGCTGTTGCAACCATCCCATGCTGCAACTGTCCCCAGTCTCCCATATGAATCCAACATACTGTCTCATTAGTTCATATGGGATTTATCAAAGACATGGTTCATTTTTATTGCCTATTAATTTCTAAGGCCTCCTATAGACCTTTCCAGAGCATGCCATAGCAGGAAAAGCACAGGTGCATTCTATAACATTATTAATGGCTGCATTCCACTTAGGGGAGGTGCTGGAGTTGTGCATGCTGGAACACATTATGGAGACGCTTAATGGAACTGAGCCATCATTCATGTTATCAGTTTCACCTGCACCTACAATGACAAGTGGCTGCAGTCGAGTAGTCTTTTTTGCTTAGGAAGGTTCCTAACTGAGTGAAATGACCCGGAAGTATCTAAGTGGCAGCCATGATAAGAGCTGGTCGAATTCTCTAAATTTTAAGGAAAGGTGCTTCATTGCTTCCTTTCTGATCTCCTTTAGCATAGGATACACTTGACCATCCTTTACGAAAGGAAAGGAGATAATTCTGTCCCACAAGTCCTTGCAGCGGCAATATAAAGGGGTCAAGCAACGCACCATTCACAAACTCAAATGATTAGGAAAAAAAAGATCAACATGACCGAGAAAGGAAGGAGATCACCATCTAAGTTACCGTTGTTTATGAAGCATTATACATCTCATGCCATAACTTGTTCATATGCTATATGTTGTCAACTTTCAACATTAGGCTATGTTAAACTTAGACGCGAACTATGAACGTTTCACTACCATTGGTGTAGGCTACCCTCTGTCCAGAGCTTTGTTTAACTTGTTGTATAACAGGATAAACAAATATAGCCTACAATGCATTATTTTAATTTTCTGATTTTCGTGTTAATGCGAAAAAACGGAAATCCACGTACTTTTCCCGTTTTCGTCTTCTATCTATAGGCCTATATTATCTGCCCCTACTGCATCTCAAAATATTGGCATCGGCTATGCTTATATAGATCTCTCTCTCTCTCAACCCAACCGAGTTTTTCCTTACCACCATCGCCAAGTGCTGCTCATGGGGGAATTGTTAGGTCTCTGTAAATTCAAGAGTATTATCTAGATCTGCTCTATGTGAAAAGTGCCCTGAGTTGACTTTTGCTGTGATTTGACGCTAGCCTATATAGGTAGGTAGGTAGGTAGGTACTTTATGAATCCCCTTGAGGAGAAATTTCAGCGCCACAGCAGCCAATAGAAACAATACAAAATAATAGACAATAAAAACACAGGTCATATTATAAAAATACTAATAAAAACACAGTGACACAAGGTGCGAGGAGTAAAAACCAAAGTGTAGACTGTCCATAGGAAATATAAAAGGGGGGGGGGGGTCAGCACATGGATGAGTTGTACAGTCTTAAGGCAGTGGGCAAAAAGGAGCGTCTATGTCTCTGTGGAACACCGAGGCAGGATAAACCGGTTGGTCAAAGAGCTTCTCTGCCTGGTCAGGGTGTCGTGTAGTGGGTGGGAGGGGTTGTCCATGATGGTCAAAAGCATCTGTAATATCCTCCTTTCAGTCACCACACTCACTGGATCTAATCTGGTCCCAAGGACAGGCCCGGCCTTCTTCAGCAGCTTATTGATCTTGTTTTCCTCTGCAGCCTTCATGCCACTGCCCCAGCATGATAGTGCAAAGAACAGCGCGCTCCCCACCACTGAATGGTAGAAGGCATTCAGCATTGGAGCAGAGACATCAAATGACCTGAGCCTTCTCAGGAAGTGGAGGCGGCTTTGGCCCTTTTTGTATACTGCCAGCGTGTTCTCACTCCAGTCCAGCTTGTTATTAATGTGGACTCCCGGGTATTTATAAGATGGTACAATCTCCACATCCTCCCCTCCAATAGAGACTGGGGAGATTGGTGTTTTTTTCTTCTTAAAGTCAATTACCGTCTCTTTGGTTTTCTTTATGTTGAAGTGCAGATGGTTCTGCCTGCACCACTCTGTGAAGTCATTGACTAGACCTCTGTACTCCCCCTCCTGTCCCTCTCTAACACACATCCAACAATCACAGAGTCATCTGCATACTTCTGGAGGTGGCATAACTCTGAGCTGTAAGTGAAGTCAGATGTGTAGCGGTTAAACAGGAAGGGAGCTAGGGCAGTCCCTTGGGGGGCCCCTGTGCTACTGACCACTGTACGAGACACACAGTCTTGCTGCCGCACATACTGCAGTCTGCTGGTCAAGTAGTCAGTAGTCCAGGCCACCAGGGGGCCATCTACCTGCATGGCCAGCATCTTCTCTCGCAGTCGCAGGGGCTGGATGGTGTTAAAAGCGCTCAAAAAAATCACAGAACATGAGTCTCAGAGCGCTGCCTGCTGTCTCTAGATGGGAGTGGGCCCGATGGAGCAGGTAGATGATGGCATCTTCCACTCCCATATTTGCCTGGAAGCCAAACTGCAGGGGGTCTTGGTGGTCCTTCAACAGGGGTCGCAGGTGAGCCAGTACGAGCCTCTCCAGGACCTTCATGGGGTAGGAAGTTAACGCCACAGGTGTATAGTCATTTAATTCCCTGGGACAGCCTTTCTTAGGCACAGGGATCAAACATGACATCTTCCATAACACTGGTGGTCTTTCAAGGGACATACTTAAGTTGTAAATGTACAAGAGGACTCCACATAGCTCATCAGCACACAACTTGATGATTCCTGGTGTAATGCCATCAGGACCGGCCGCCTTGCCTGGTCGGAGCCTCTTCAGCTCCATCCGGACCTCATCCAAGGTGAAGGTAGTGTGAGCTGCAGTGGTGGTTGTTGTTAGTCCAGTGGAGAGGGCCAGGGGGGGATGGGAGGGGCTGGGGGATAAAGTGGCCATGGGGGGTAGGCAGGAAGGTCCATAGGAGGTAGGAGGGGAGATGTGATTGGAGCTATCTGGGCAAGGGTATCTGAGTCAAACCTGTTAAAAAATATGTTGAACTCATCAGTTCTTGCTTGATCCCCCTCAACTGTCTGGCTGGCCACATTATAGCCTGTAACGGTCTTCATGCCGGACCAAACCTCCTTTGTGTTGTTCTGTTGTAGCTTATATTCTAGCTTCCTCCTGTAGGCCCTTTTGTTCACTCTAATTTTCCTCTTCAGCTCCTTCTTCTATAAATAAAATTGAATTGAATTGAATTGAAAAGAAATAGATAGCCTAGATAATCAATTGGCATATCTGGAGATTTAAATAATCAAAGTTAGGCTACTGCTTCCCACCTTTTATTCCCCTGTACAGTGTTTCCCTGTAGAGCTACAGTGGAAGGATCATAACAAAAAGAGAGAATTGGGCACTATACAAAAGACTGTAACTTGTTTCACCATGTTGTCAACGTTCATATATCCTGCATGAAACAACACAATGAGAACGTACGGGGTGCATTATCTATACGCTTTTTGTAGACCATCTTCAGAACATTATAGTTTCACCACAGCAGACCCACGTCAATGACATCCACTGTGGCATAATTACGTAGCCCAGTGTAAGTGCAGTCGGATTCTCTCAGCACCGCAGTTGTCTTTTCCAAAGTCTTTATGAATTCTTCTTCACATCTTCCCTTGAACTCGTGACATTTTCCATCGAGGTCAAGAAAAAGTGGTTAGAAAAAGATGATAGGAGAGACTTTTCGACCACAGCCTTTACGTCTGCTGTGAAAA